ATTCACAGCACCAAGCCATTGGGGTTTCACAACAACATAGGGAGTTGCTGCCCCTGTCCCCACAGGCGCATGAACAGAAATCTTGTCAGCAGCTTCTTCTTTGGTGTTTGATTCTTTGAGTGGAGCAGTGTCGCCATCTTTGGTATCAACTGGTCGATTGATTGCCTTTTCTGACTTGCTATGTTTGTTCACCTCCATGGTAGGGTTGGTTTCAGTTGAGGCAGGAGATATATCTGTTTTAACAGTTGGTGCTTTCCCCTGTGTCTTCTTCAAGTCCCTTTTCTTAGCAGCCTCACCCGAAGGGTCAGAAAGTTTCAGTAGGTACATTACTCTATCTAGTTCGGACTTAAAGCCTGCTAGCTCCTTCTCAAGTTTTTTAGTCTTGTCAAGCACTGGAAAACAACATATCCAGAACCAGAATCACCAGTCACAGTCAACACAAAATGACACCTGCAACAAATTGTAGACTAGATAATCATAGAACAAATAATCCAAAATGCAGCATCTCTTACCTAGTTGAGATGATAGTCCAGACATGTAAGCATCAAGTTCATCTGCAGCTTCGGTTTGTCCACCACTTTCAGATGTGATTTTATTTTTTTCTTGAAGAATTGCATCTTTTATCTCTTCCATGTCTTTCACGATGGCATCTCGCTTATCAAGCAAGCTATCTGCAGTCTCAACAGATAGAGTTTCCCCAGCCTTTTTTGTTAGAGGTTTCTTTGTCCGGTCATAGAAATCATCATCGTCACTGGGCAAACACGTTACAAGCATCAGCAGCCATCATTAAGCAATCATGCAATAAAGGTTAACATTTTCAGTATCATTAAACACCTGGAGTATAGTTCATCCTCTTCTGTTCCCTTTTTGCCACGGTAAATCCCTCCCGAACGAGCACCAAGACTTTCACGAATACTTTCATTTAAAGTCTCCTCCAAGCTTTCCAGCTCCTCCATTAGCTGTTAAGGATAATAAAAAGAATGATAATCTTCTTAAGAAACGGAAGGACGAGAACAAGTGGCAGAACCAAAGCATCAGGGGATGGCTCTTTACCTGAGTAATTCTTAATTCATTGCGAGCAATCTGTGTTTGCTGACCTTGCGTCAACCCACCTTGAGCAATATCTTTGGCGCGAATAGCGTCTATTTCTTTCTTCATATGTGCAATCTGTGGCCATATGTAAGAGGCAGACAGTGTTCACAAAATCAGAGAACATAGTAGAACGAAGATATGAGAAACTCCAAAGAGCCAAAATATACCATTAAGTACTCAGGTAAGAATAGTAAGCCTAGGAGTGAAACCATACAGCACCTTTTCATTACGTTTTATGACTTTATCATGTGTCTTTGCTTGCTTTTCTGTGAGCTGCCCTTTGTAGGTTTGCCAAGTTACTTCATCAGTATCATCCTGCACATAAGATGTAAAATGAGTCACACTGGCAATGGCCGTGTTTACAAGGCAATAATTTTAAGTAGTAATTCCAGGGGAAACATAGAACAGGAGCAATAACCGATTGCAGACCAATCAGCAGGAGAGGCTTAGGAGCATGAGATAACTTCAAGCAGTCTATTCTTAAATGGTGCCATGTTGCATAGTGAAATGACCATATAATCCCAGAACAGACAGAACAAGCTGTGGATCTTATCAAATTTCACCTAACAAACATACAACATTTGCTGCAAAATAAACATTACTAAAGTGAACCAGACATTGTGGACACAAGTTTGGACAGGAATAAATAAGGGCCCACTGACCTCAGCTTCTTCAATAGCATCTTCATCCATGCCCCAGGAGATACCATCAGCAAGAGATGCTTCCATTCTAGCTCGGTGAACTGAAGCTTCTCGATCTAGCATTTCTTGGTGGGCCCGAGCATTTTTAAGGACTTTGCGGTTAGCTTCCTAAATATATTACAGCAGTTGGGTTAAGGCTCAATACTTGACGTTGGGCAATCAAATCTCCAATGTGATGTACAAACTCGTTACTCTTTTCTTTGTGAAAGTGCTAACTCATTACTAGCACAACAAGATGAAAATTATATCCAGCATAAAACTAAGTGTACAAAAAAAATATATATATATGATAACAAACATGATATATATCATACTCAAGATGATATATGCATATACATAATATTTAGTTATTTACAACACTCGGATGCCTACAAAACTGCTTCAGAAGTTTTAGAAAATATTAACTATATTCATCAGAAAATAGGTAGGTTTCTCCATACTATGGTTAACTAAAAATATATAAATCTAGACACTTCTGGGACAAATCTCACCAGGGGCATCAGGTCCTCTGGCCCTTGAAAAATGTACAATCGAGACGACCTGGAGGAAAGGGACATGTAGAAATTCATTTGCCATAAGAATGAGGGGGAACATATAAAGACTATAGCAATATAAGCATATGCTGAAATGCCTGATTCTGAACAGCAACAGAGCCAGCACAAAAATATTTGTACACAAACAAAATGTTGACAAGAGAGAGGCATCCAACCAATAAAAATGACAATCAACAATAAATTTTTGAATCCTCGATCAAAGGTTTGATTTCTGATGGCCAACAGAGGAGAAAAAAATTGCAGTCCCACCTTAAAATCTTCTCCAAAAATTAGCTCAAATTGACTTTTGAATTTACAAATCCAACTTCAAAACAACCTTTTTAGTGATTAATTGTAATAAAATTAGGACAAACAGCACACATGAAATAAAGTTGAGATACAAATTACTCACTGCCCAAAGCGAATGACATCACCTACGCGTAAAGCAACATGAACTCTTTTCTCCACCTGCTCAAACCAAAAGGAAGGGAACGTGAAAGCCAAAGAGAGAAGGGATTATATGTGATTCTTAAGCACCAACAGTTGCATGGAAAAGCACCTAAGCATCCAAAAGTGAGATGGAGGAGGAGGAAGGAGGCAGAGTTTTTAAACATAACTACAAGGGCGTTTGTTTGCTCTAGAAAGTAAAACATTAACATCCTCTACATGTTAAATGAACTGGTGAACTAATTTACCTTTCACTTCTCTTTTCTCAGTATGACGACATCAAACAACACAATACTTAGTTCCATTGGTTTCTTGGCAATATGCATCAATAGAGTAGAGGGGTATGCACAGTCTTTGGAGTTAGTTAATTCAATACTTATATGAAGCCTTGTCATTAGGTCTTAAATATGCTATCCAATCAATATGGGACAAAGGATCCAAACTGGACTCCCATGATAAAAGGTTGATTGGTAGCAATGCCAATTAATAACACATATACACATCAATTAAAGGTTACTACCTGACTCTTGTTAATAAAAGTCCCATGTGTGCTCCCTACATCATAGAGGTACGCATCTCCACTCCTTTTGAACTGCAAAACTGAATGTAAAAAACAATCAATTATAGAGAAGACCAGCATCAGATCATCTAGCAAGTTTCTACTTAAGCTGATCATTAGCAAGTGAACTTTCAATAATTTAGACTCCGTAAGTGGTTGATTTGACCATTCATTTAGTGGATATGATCAGGAGTCCAGCAATAACAGTAAACATAAAAGAAGAGTTGTCCTTCAGAAATACTGATATAAAAAGCCAGATGATAAACGAATTTATGACTGTATGTCCTGAGATACTTCTGGCAACCGATCTCCATTTGATACTCACGACATACGCGACTCAGATTTCTGACAATTGGACTCTATTATTTCTAACTTCACTACAGAAGTTGCCTACAAAGAGAAAAAAACAGGGCCTAGGCACCGGCGTACAGTTTTCTTGGTATTTCAGCTGGAGCAAATAAAAGCTTTCAAATTAACAACCACTACCAAAGTCCACTCATGCAATGAAACCTAAATAACCAAAGAACATAGATTACTTACAGATATAGGAAAAGAAGTGAGCAAGTACCTGCATGAAAGCGGGAGATAGTTGGATGCTCTAGAACAAAGTCACAGAGATCAACACGTCCAAACATGTAAGCTCCCTTTTCACAGCTGCATTCGTTCAGGGGATCCTCATTAAGGGCAAGAAGAGTACAATATACACATTATATGATATACAATACACTCAAGTCTATTGCGAGTGTTTGCTGAGCACTAGAATTTGGGACTGAAGAGAAACACATGAAACAACAAAAACAAACTCAACTGAGAAACTTACACATCGAATTGGTCAACAATGGTGCCCTCTTTAAGAACCTCCAACTGGAACTTATGGCAAGGCGGACCACTCCACTCGGGAATGGTATAGGGCACAGCAAAAGCTTGCTTCTGCGCTTGTTCAGAATCCTTTGTTGCATCAGAACTGGCCCTGTCTTCGGATTGAGGTACCTCTTCGGCAGGATTAGGGTTCTTGCGGGGGGCTGGCGGACCCATTGTGCTTCGCGATTCAGCTGGAGAATTTGAGTCTTGCCCATCGACAGTTGGAGGTTGCGATTCGTTCCCTGAAGTCGATGCGGTTGCAGGATCAGCGTTCTGGGGAGGTGGAGGTCCCATGGCGGCGGTCATTGTGGCCGTCCGGCTATGGCCTATGGAACTAGGCGAGTAGGCGGAGAGCTAACCGTTTCGCAACCAGTGCTCTACGAGAACGACTGACTCGAGGTCGAGGGCCAGATTTTTTTTTTTTTTTTGTTAATTAACTGTTCATTTTAGAGGGAAACTATTGTCTTGACTCTTGTCTATTTCGGTTTCTTGGTTTTGGTATTTTTTCCTTTTGCCCCAAAATTTGAGCTACATTTGGAGAACGGGAAAAGGAAAACTTAGGGGTAATTTGGATGCAGGTTTTTAATTTGTGGGATTTTGGCTCAAATCACTGGTTTAAAAACCCAGGTTTTTAATTTGTGGGATTTGTGTGGAATTTTAAAGGCAAAATACACTTCCATAGCCAAAACTTTGACGTTTGTGACAATAATAGCCATTTTTGACGAAATACCAGATATAGCCTGAAATTTGAATGCTTGATGACAAATATAGCCATTTCCGTTACATTCTTTAACGGTGTGAGTGACACCGTTAGTGAAATAAACGGAATGCTGACTTGGCTGCCTTGTCAGCCTCTCCGTCGCTTACACCTCATACTTCAGTGACATGTCTGACGCCACGTCATTAAATGAAAAAAAAAAAAAATTTCGGCAGACTTAAAATCGTGGACCAGAGGCTCGTTCTTCTTCCTCCTCCTCCCTTTTCACTTCACCCATTGAATCTAGGGTTTCAAGTGCCATCACCGCCGCCTCCTCTGAACCACGGCCGCTGATTAAAGGAGGCCTGCCGCCTCCTCTGAACCTTAACCCCTTCGCCGCCGGTGTTTCAACCCGACCCCGCCTCCGCTATTTCGCGCGCGACCCAGCCTCCCCTTTTTCGAGCTTGGCGCGACTCTGCCTTTTCCAGCCGACCCCGACTCCGTGCCACACCGACCTCCAAGAGAAAAGAGGAAAGGGTGGGCAACCAGATCAGCCACTTACCGGTCGAATGAAAGGAAGAAGCCCAGGAAATCAACCGTCCGAGATTCCCAAAAGCATCCTGAGGATTAGGGTTTTTTGCTGTCGAATTGGAATTAGGATTCTTGGCGTTTCGATGGTCGATTTGAGCTCACCAGAGTTGAATCGAGTCGCCGGAATGCTCGCCGACCCGTTATTAACCACATGGAAGCATCGCCGCCGACTCGGAGGAAAGGGGTTTTTGGGATGGGATGAGTGGATGGGAGAAAAAACTGGTACGAGGAGGAAAGGGGTTTTTTGGCGTTGCCGGGATCGATCGGAAGCTGGGGCGCTCCTCGTCGGTGAACAGCGCCGCCGTTGTGGAAATTGCCTGGGCTGTTCGTTGTCTTCGTCGGGGGCGTCGGGCGAGTAGGGTTCGAAGGGAAGGGAAGATGATGTCGATTGTCGACTGTGGAGAAAAGAAAGGAAAAATGAAAAGGAAGAGAGAGGGAGTGGCTGATCTGTTCCCCTTATCTTTTTTTTTCCACGTGGAAAATACTTACCGGACGAAAATCGCCACATAGGATTATCCGTTAATCCAGTCAGCATCCTAAGTAACGCCGTCAAAGAATTGGAAGGAAATGGCTATATTTGGTATTTCGTCAAAAGTGGCTATATTTGGCAAATTCGTCAAAGTTTTGGCTATACAAGTGTATTTTGCCAATTTTAAAATAGCTGATGACCATCAGCTATTTTACAATCCCACAATTGTGGGTTTTTGAAATCTCTAATATTTAAAATCTCTTATCGGGGTCGTTTGGATTAGTGAATGTGATGAGGGATTTATGAGTGATTTTAAAACAATCTCTCGTTATGCAGGATTTTAAAACAATTCTGCGTTTGGAAAGGTGAGAGATTGTGGGCATGAGGAAATTCTAAATCTCTCATATGAGAGTTTTTAAATAGCTGATGGGGATCAGCTATTTCACAATCACTCATTTTTTCTCATTCTTTTCCAAACTCTGCCCCTCCTTTTGTTCTTCCTTAGGGATTAGGGATGGGTATAATTGTAACTTTAATTTTTAATTAAAATCCTTCATCTATTCCCAAACATGTTATTTGGATCAAATCCCACGTTTAAAATACTTGGGTTTTTAATTGAGAGATTTTAATCCAAATCTCTCATTTACACATTCCCTAATCCAAACGACCCATCATATAATTGCTTTCCAAATGAGTGATTTTAACACTATGTGGGATTGTGCCCAAATCCCACACCCAAGACCTGCATCCAAATGACCCGGCAGGTATTGGATTCCCTAGCTATGATTGCCTGGCATACTCCAGTTCCTCTCCTAGAGGCTCTTCTTAGATGGAGGGAGAGGTGTGTTCTCCTGGAAACTGAAATCCTTCTATTTGTGTATTATCTTTCGGCTTCTGTAATTCACTTTCATTTTCTCTCTACTTGAATTTTGATAAGCCAAGTAAACCTTAGTGGAGAAGAGGAATGATCATGTTGCAGAATTGGTAAAGAAAATTAGAAAAAGGGAAATTATATAACAAAGCATGTGAATGTCGCCACAACTGATTCAATTGTCATTTTTAAGTAATTCTTTAAATGACATCCTCGTTTCTTAATTGCAGCGAATCTCCTAAAGGTGCAAATGATGCATCTACATTCCAAAAAAAGGTTTGTCTCAAGACCCAAATACTTGCATCATCATAGGAAGTGGTGGGCTTTGTGGTAAAAATTTGTTTTGCGAACTATTGGTCATAGTATATGTTTTGTTAGTGCAACCTCCTATGTTGTCCCACTCTTACTTCACTCTTGTTAAGGCATTTGGATGGACATATTTTCTGTTCGGAAACTTTCAAAAGACGGTTTGTAGCAACATATCGGTCATTACGACTCACATGATCTCAGTAATCAGTTTACTAAAATATTTTAGTTGGTTTTTGCTGTTATTTATGGTACAGTGGATATCGTTGGTTCTAGATTTAGCGCCTGGGTACATTAGGAGAGTTTCATGGAGGAATAGGATCTTGAGTTTTCTTATATCAAGTATGAACTTTGTCAAGTTTAATTTGGCTTAGCTTGAGAAGTTGTGGCTTTGCATTGGATATGCATGCAGAACATAATAAAAACTAATGTCTGTGATGTTCATTAAGCCATGCTATGTTTCATTTGCAGTAGAATCTTGTGTTTAGAAGTCGGTATAACCATATTAGACGTCAGAATGTTATATCTTTGTCTCACTAAGTTTGTTGGTATTTCCCTTAGAGATAGCAGATTCGCTATTCTCAGGAAGCATGATAGTATGCATTGAAGCAGATGACTAGAAATGCATCTCTTGATTTAGAAATATACTCTATGTTTGATTCACTTGATAGAGCATAATGAAGTCAAAGGTAGTATGGGATGAGGAACTCAAGCTGGTGTATCGGTGGTATTGGTATTGGTTGTGGTCATGCTTGTCTAAGATATGTGATGTTATCTTGATTCTATGGCCGGATGCAATGGTTTTTGTTGTTCTCTCTCTGTAAGTGATTGAATATGTGAATCTAGGTTGTCCTGGATCCAGTCAATAATCATAGCTATACTGTCTTTTGGCAAGCATTCCCTTGGTGATACATTTGTTATCTGTCTATTTTTTCTCTTAACAATAATTGATATCGAATTTAATACCCTTTTTATGCAAGCCTAGCTAGCTGTGGAGTGTATTTTCTGCTCAGCGTGTATACGATTTGTAGAGTGCTGCCCACAGGAGGGACTTACAGGTTTGTTCAAGAATGTGAATTAGTTTCTAGTTATTCTAATATTTGGTTCTTGTGTGAAATTACATTGCTAATTATTGTTGCAGAGAAGCTGTGGTCTGTGTTCGATTGGTTAATTAATGCTGACAGGTACGGCTTTGGATTACAGTCATAATTTGTGATCATTAATAATGTCTACAAAACCTGAATACTTCCAACTAATCCATCCCTGCATATACCTCTATGTTGTTTACTTTTTTTTTTTTTATCTGGTAGAGTTCTCTGTGAGTCTGTGTATTCTGCTTGTTACTTGTTATAGTTCGCATGAAAAAAATCTTCTATGAATAATAGTTCACATAATTGATATATTTTTTTGCAGAGTTGTTAGTCAGGTTGAAAATCCCTCATTGGTTGATTTGCGTGGCCTTCTCTTGGATCTGGTTGCTCAACTCCTTGGTGCCTTATGTCGGATCAGGTAACTAAATTGTTGCATTATGACCTTGAAGGATATTATTTCGCATGTCATTGTAAATTGTGGACGAAGCACTTGCTGACATTTTTGCGAAAATCTGTTGTAGCATTAGTTGGTAACCTTAGTTTTTATGTAAATGTATTTTTTTTCCCTTGCCACAGGTTTAGCTCAGTAACTGAGCGCTTTTTCATGGAGCTAAATACACGTCGGATTGACACTAGTATGGCCCGAAGCGAAACACTCAGTATTGTCAACGGAATGCGATACTTGAAGCTTGGGGTATGCATGTCTTTACCTCTTATGTGGCTCTTGGCGAACTTCTGGTGCTGTTCTTTCTCAATTTTAAGACACGACAAAAACTGTTTAAAGCCTAAGGTCTGGCCAAACAGATAGTGAGGAAAGTGAGTTTGACAATTTACACTGGGGCATGGGCAGGTTAAGACTGAGGGGGGCCTAAATGCATCAGCTTCTTTTGTGGCCAAAGCAAATCCTTTGAACCGTGCTCCACACAAGCGCAAAAGTGAGCTCTACCATGCACTCTGTAATATGCTCTCGAACATCCTAGCTCCAATGGCAGATGGTGGAAGAAACCAATGGCCACCATCAGGGGTGCACAATGCACTTGCTCTATGGTATGAGGCTGTTGGTCGAATAAGGATGCAACTTATACATTGGATGGACAAGCAAAGCAAGCATATAGCTGTAAGTGCATCTTAGATAACCTGCGGCATGAATTTTTTTATCCCCCCCATGGTTTTGAAGCAGTGAGCAATTCTGTGCCTTATTCCCAAGGGAGAAGCTGTGTTTTTTATCATTTGGATAAACTGACCAATTGAGTTCACTGAGGAATACACAATTTGTCCGAGAGCCGATTCATAAAATTTGGTAATTGTTTAGCCTAGAATTCTTGAAAAATCTTGAAAAATGATATCTGGTCATGCTGATGCACTAGAACTCTTGGCAAACCATTCATTTTTGTATTTAACTGGGGGGAAAAAAGATTGTGCAGAAATTGTGTTTACAATCGGATGTTGGAATTTTCACTTGAAAATAAATGAATTGTTAGTCATAGAATATTATTCTCGTCAGACTTAAACCTAATCGTTATTAAAGGAATTCCTTGTTGGCTTTCTGCTTCTTTAGGTTCGAACCCTTGTTATTTTAGTTCCAACTAGTTTTGGTTTTTTTGCTGGGAGACATCTTTTCGTACTTAAGGAAATGGAAACAGAGGTTAGTTAATGTAATTCAAATTAAACTTGTGTTTGGTGTCCGTAGAACTTGGATGGAAGGAGAAGGTGAAAATCCAATCAAACAGAGATCTTCTAATTTCTTAAGCCTAGCTGACGTTGATTTGGAACAGTTTTTTGCTATATTGACAAAAGTGGGTGTGGCACGTGTTGCCCAACTTCTGCATTATCAAATATGTTGCTTCGAGTCTGAAGTCTTACTGTACTTTTGTTCTAATGCACATTCACAGATTGTTTTGGCAGTTTTACATCACTTCTAATATCAAACCTTGACATGATATGTTGGCCTTTAGCATTATGTAGCCCCATTTTTGTAGCCTCACTCGCTATTAGCAGCTCTGATATTTGCGTTTTTGTTTTTTCCATTTTCCTTTTTCTTTAGGTTGGCTACCCGCTTGTTACCCTTCTTCTCTGTCTCGGTGATCCTCAAATATTTCACAGCAACCTAAGCCCACACATGGAGCAACTTTACAAGCTTTTAAAGGTAGGTTTGTTCTGGAACTTCACTCTAAGTGGCAGATGGGACAACTCTTGGTGGTCATTTCTGATAGAGAAGAGTAGGATTTGGGGGTTGAGAAGAAGAATTAGGGATTGAGAAAGAATTAGGGATTGGAAATAGAATTGGGGAAGAACAGAGAGAAGAGAGATTTAGGGATTTTGATATTATTATTGTTTAACTGTAAATGAATGTGCATAACCCTATTTATCAGTTTCAGAAACTAACACAGAATAACAAAACTCAACCCGACAACCCGGCCCAATCGGCCAACCCAACCCGACCCCCTACCCGCGCGGGTCTCTATCATCCCCTTCCCCATCAGAAACGACCTTGTCCTCAAGGTCAAATGTCGGAAAACGCTGGCGTAGTGTGGCAGTCTCCTCCCAGGTAGCATCTTCGCGCGCCATGTGCTGCCACAAAACCAAACTTTCCTCAATCATGCGCCCTCCCTTCCGAACCCATCTGGTGTCCACAACCTGCACAGGGGTAAGCACCAGGTCTCCATCAGCAGATACTGGCGGCGCCGTCGTCTCCACCCGGTCCGCGGCTCCTCTGTAACGTTTCAACAATGACACATGAAAGGTAGGATGAATACGGGCATCAGCTGGCAACTGCAAACGATAGGCCACCAGATTAATCTTCTGCTGCACCTCGTAGGGGCCAAAGTACCGGGCAGCCAGCTTCTGGTAGGCCCGCCTGAAAACGGACGCCTGTCTGTAGGGGTGAAGGCGAAGCAGAAGCCAGTCCCCCACCTCGAACTCCTCCTCCCGCCTGCCTGCATCTGCCAACTGCTTCATTTTATTATTGGCAGCAGCCAGGTTGGCCTTGAGCTGCTCCAACGCCTCATCCCGAGTCTCGAGCCAACGGTCCACCGCATCCACCTGACTGGAGCCCTGCTGATATCGAACCAATGAAGGTGGTGGCCTCCCGTACAGTGCCTCAAACGGAGTCGTCTGAATCGCTCTGTGATAGGTGGAGTTATAACATAACTCGGCCCATGGAAACAGAGCCAACCACCGCCGCGGCTGCTGATGGGCAAAACAGCGCAGGTACTGCTCCAAATATCGGTTGACCACCTCCGTCTGGCCATCTGTCTGTGGATGGTAGGCAGAGCTCATTCGCAATGTCGTCTGAGCCATAGCGATTACCTCCTGCCAGAAACGGCTCAAGAAAACCGAATCCCGATCACTGACAATCGACCTCGGAAACCCATGATGGCGGACGACCCCCATCACAAACTGCTCGGCCACTGCTCGGGCCGTATATGGATGCGCCAATGCCATGAAATGAGCATACTTCGTCAGTCGATCCACGACTACAAACAGTACCGTCTTCCCACCGGATGGAGGAAGCCCGACAATGAAGTCCATGCTGATGTCCTCCCACACCCGCTCCGGTACTAGCAATGGCTGTAATAGTCCGGCTGGCCGAAGATGAGAGGCCTTAACCCGCTGGCAAGTGTCACAAGAGGCTACATAGTCCTTCACATCCTGGCCCATCTGGGGCCAATAAAACTGTGCTCGGATCCGCCTCAGGGTCCGCTCCACCCCGGAATGCCCTCCAAAAGGGGAGTCGTGGTACTCCTGAAGCACCGTCGTCACCAGGGACGAGCCCCGGGGTAGGACAAGGCGTCCTCGAAAGAACACCAGTCCCTGGCGAAACGAGTAATGGCCCGGAGCCTCACTGACTGCTGTATCTCGGCAACCCCGCAAGTATGCATCCGTCTCTGTCAGGGCCCGTAGCGCGTCCCAAAACTGGGGGACTGGTCCCGTCACTGCTGCTAGGACCTCACCTCCCGGTCGCCGCGAGAGCCCATCCGCCACCACATTGGAGGGTCCCGGCCGGTAGTGGATCTCATAGTCATAACCCAAGAGCTTTGCGACCCACTTATGCTGATCAGGGGTGGAAACGCGCTGCTCCAATAGGTTCCTCAGGCTCTGATAGTCGGTGTAGATATGAAACTTCTGACCCAGAAGATACGGTCGCCACATCTGAACTGCTGTAATGATGGCCTGCATCTCCTTCTGGTATGTAGACCAGGCCTCTTTGGAGGGAGCCAAGGTCTTACTCATGAAGGCCACCGGGTGACGGTCCTGTGATAACACCGCCCCGATTCCCCGGCCAGAAGCATCAGCCTCAATCACAAAGGTCCGGGAAAAATCCGGCATAGCTAGAGTCGGAGTAGAGGTCATGGCCTGCTTCAGCTGCTGGAAAGCAGCCGCCGCCTCCGGGGTCCATGTGAACTCGCCCTTCTTCAGCAGATTAGTCAACGGCCGGGCGATCATGCTGTACCCCTGCACAAACTTCCGGTAATACCCTGTCAAGCCCAGAAAACCTCTCAACTCCGTCACCGTGGTCGGAGTAGGCCATTCCACCATCGCCTGTATCTTCGACTGGTCCACCTGCACGCCCTGGGGAGTGACAATGTAACCCAGATACTCCACCTTCTGCACCCCGAACGCGCACTTCGAGGCCTTGAGGTAGTACTGATGATGCCGCAACACCTCAAAGACTGTCTGCAAATGCTGCAAATGCTCTTCCCACGACGGGCTGTAAATCAGAATGTCATCAAAAAATATCAGAACATACCGGCGCAGTAGTGGTCGGAAAATATCGTTCATGGCCGCCTGAAACGTCGAGAGAGCATTGCACAAGCCGAAGGGCATAACCAAATACTCATAATGGCCGTTATGAGTCCTGAAAGCGGTCTTGTGCGCATCCTCCTCCTGCATCCGTATCTGATGGTACCCGGCTCTCAGATCGAGCTTAGTGAAATAAGCTGAGCCATGGAGCTCGTCGAGCATGTCATCTACTGTGGGGATCGGAAACCGATCCTTCACCGTCGCAGCATTGAGAGCCCTGTAGTCCGTGCAGAACCGCCAAGTGCCATCCTTTTTCTTGACCAAAAGTACCGGCGAAGAAAAAGGACTAGTGCTAGGACGGATTAGCCCGGTCGCGAGCATCTCTTCCACCTGTCGCTCGATCTCTTCCTTCTGCGAGTGCCCATACCGGTATGGCCGGACATTCACAGCCCCCACGCCTTCCTTGAGCTGTATCCGGTGATCAATCTGCCTGTGGGGTGGCAAGGTGGTAGGTGTCTGGAAGAGTTCCGGAAATGCATCCAGTACCCGCTACAGATCAGGAGCCACCTCCTTCGCGTCGGTTGCCACTGTGGGCCAACAGAGGACCGCCAGCTCAGCCTCGCCCTCCGCCGTGCACTCGTGGATCGAAATGGGCCCCAGGGCCGTCGTGAGCCCCCTCAGACTCCACTCCACTTGAACCGCATAGTCAGAAGTCTCCAATCAGTAGTCACCGGTCCCAATTCCTGCAACCATGGAACACCCAAAATCACGTCAAACCCACGTATGGGTAGGACATACATATCTGCAGTGACGGGCAGCCCCTGAATCTCGATGGGAAGCTGCCGATACACTGCGTGACACCGCATCGGAGCGCCATTGGCGACCTTGACCACTATCGGCTCCACCATGCTCGGCTTTTGAGGAATCTTCTTAGCCAGTTCCTCGCTAATGAAGTTGAGAGTCGCGCCGCTGTCCACCAACGTCAGAGCAGTGGTACCGGCTATCTCAGCTCGGAAACGGAGTGTGCCCGGAGTAGGCAACCCAGTCACTGAATGGAGCGAGATCACCGGGCCCGCCTACGACAGCCCGCCGTCCGCACCCGCCGCTGCCGGACCCGCCGCCCCGCCGCCTTGGTGCTCGGACGTCGGCGCCCCTTCCCGGGCGAGTTCCGACCCCGCGCGCGGCGCGCGCCGCTGGTCCCCCTCCGCGGCCGACCCGCCCGACGCGGCAACCCCCTCGCCGCCCGCCTGTTCCGCGCACGGCGCCGGCGCCATCGCCACCTCGCCCGGAGCTCCGCCCGCCATCTCGGGGCAGCCGTCTCCTCCGCCCACCGATGGATTCCTGGCGGCGCATAGCGCATCAATGCGCTGCAGCAGTCGCGTCCAAGAAGGATTAGAGAGCCTAGAAGAGCTCAACCAGGCTCTGATACCAATTGATAGAGAAGAGTAGGATTTGGGGTTGAGAAGAAGAATTAGGGATTGAGAAAGAATTAGGGATTGGAAATAGAATTGGGGAAGAACAGAGAGAAGAGAGATTTAGGGATTTTGATATTATTATTGCTTAACTGTAAATGAATGTGCATAACCCTATTTGTCAGTTTCAGAAACTAACACAGAATAACAAAACTCAACCCGACAACCCTGCCCAATCGGCCAACCCAACCCGACCCCCCTACCCTCGCGGGTCTCTATCAATTTCAGACACATCTAGCTCCACTATCATTTTGGCTGGACACCAAGCAGCACATTCACTGCCTTATGCGTTGCTCAATTGTGCAGGACAAGAATCTTCGTTTCATGGCTCTGGACTGCCTTCATCGAGTTTTGAGGTTTTACTTGAGTGTTCATGCAGCTAGTCAGCCTCCGAACCGTATATGGGACTACCTTGACAGCGTAACTTCACAGTTGTTAGCTGTTGTAAGGAAAGGAACTCTTACGCAAGATGTACAACATGATAAACTTGTTGAGTTCTGTGTAACGATTGCGGAGCATAACCTTGATTTTGCCATGAACCATATGATATTAGAGTTGCTAAAACAGGATAGTAGTCCAAGCGAGGCAAAAGTTATTGGTCTTCGTGCTTTGCTTGATATTGTCATGTCACCTTCAAGTCCATATGCTGGCTTGGAAATTTTTAAAGGTAATGGATTACTCTTCAGGATGTTCTCTTAACTCTAGTTAACTTTCAGTTGACATTTGTTGCTTTAGCAGGACAGGATATTGGCCACTACATACCCAAAGTGAGGGCAGCGATTGAGTCAATTTTGAGATCTTGTCATAGAGTTTACAGTCAGGCACTTTTGACTTCTTCAAAAACCACCATAGGTAAGATATTTTTCCAAGTTTCTGAAGGATTAAGGGCAAGAATCACGCTCTTATGAATTCTCTCCCTGCCTAGACGTGGATAGAAAGAGTATAAGTAGCATGTTAATTATAAGTCAGGTCAAGTGCTTCAACTAGTCTGTTACTTGCGGTCATATGCATTAGAAATTCCACTGTCATATGTTATTCTGTCCATGCTTACTTGAATCTTGTGCTTAATCAGATGCTGTAACCAAGGAGAAGTCCCAAGGGTACCTCTTTCGTTCTGTATTGAAGTGTATACCCTATTTAATAGAAGAAGTTGGTCGAAGTGATAAGATCTCTGAAATCATTCCTCAGCATGGAATAAGTATTGATCCTGGTGTCCGGGAAGAGGCTGTACTGGTATTGAACCGGATTGTTAAGTACCTTCCTCATCGCCGATTTGCTGTAATGAGAGGAATGGCGAACTTTATCCTTCGGCTTCCAGATGAATTCCCTCTTCTCATTCAGACGTCATCGGGACGTTTGTTGGATCTCATGCGTTTTTGGAGAGCTTGTTTGATTGAGGATAGATTAGATATTGGTGTTGTTGATGATACGAAGCGAGTGCCGCAGAGAAATGCAGGATTTAAAAAATCTTCTTTCCATCCGACTGAAGTGATTGACTTTCATGCATCAGACATAGATGCGGTTGGATTGATCTTTCTTAGTTCTGTAGATAGCCAAATTAGACATACAGCACTGGAGCTAATGCGTTGTGTCCGTGCCTTGTGGAATGATATATCAGACCTAACAGTGTACACGCAGCTGGATCATAACTTAAGAACCGAACCAATATTTGTTATTGATGTCCTAGAAGAACATGGGGTGAGAGATGTATTATTATTATTATTATTATTATTATTATTATTATTATTATTATTACTAGACTTTATGTACCCGCGCTTCGCGGCGGTAATAAATTAATTATTATATTTTAAACTTCAACCACTCATTTAATAATGTAGATGAAATCAAATAAAATTTGAAATAATTCGGATAAGATAACTTCATAAGCTTTACATAATGTCTTGATCATGTAATGTATATAAAAAATAACTATTCATCCGTAACCTTTATTTTACGGAGTTGTAGAACGATGTAATTAAATATCGTATAATGTATGATCTAATAATAAAATTATGTTTAAAAAATCATATTTCATTATAGTTTTATGTAAAAGTTAACTTACGAAACCTTTGCATAATGGAGATTGATGAGATTATTAATATAGTAGGAAATATTTAAGGAATTTCAGTTAAGAATGAAAGAATTAAGTTAGAAAAAGTATAACTTTTGATAGCTATAGGAGGTAATAGTTAGGGAATTTTAGTTAATAATGAAAGAAATAGAGGGGTGTGCAACGTTTGGTCCGGACCAGACCAAACTCGACTTGTGAAAGATATTTTAGGATCAAGGATCGGACCATCATTGCACTCGGTCCATTTGGTCCGGTTTGTTCCAATTATCAATTCGGCCATATTTTCTTCAATAATTATAAAATTTATAAGACCAATGATCAGATTGTATTATACTCGGTACGGTAATATCGGTTTGGTCATGTGCGTTCCAGTGCGGTCCGGTACATTGCACACTCCTAAAGAAATGTCACCATTATAAAAATAATAATGAAAGAATTAAGTTAGATAAAGTATAACATTTGATTAAATTGTTATGTAAAATATAATCGAACTTACAAAATCTTTATATATAATGTAAACAAATGATATGGTCAACAATTTAATTAATTATAAATGTATTGTCTTTCAAACTTATATTACTCTGGCTAGTATCTTAATCATTATTAAAAACTAATGTAATATATTTTGTTTAATTGAAATAACTATTCTCCATAAGATTTACTTAATGTATTGATAATTTACATACCGCTTATAAAACCAAACATATTACGTGTAATGGACCGGATGATGAATATTTAGTTGATAATAAAGACATTAAGTTGTGAAAAATGTAGCATTTGATTAAGTTGTTAGTTAAAAATGAAAATTATAATGCAACCAAGTTTTTTTCATAGTTTAATTTGGCAATGGAAGGTGCTGTTGCTTCATGAAATTTCATTCATTTTTTTGTCATCAATACCTAAATCAGGAAAAAGCCCTTAAAGGCTTAAACGTTCAAAACCTAAATAAATAAAGTAAAAGAGATCTATAAGAAGCTAATTTATTTGTGGTGTGCATTTTAGTATATCGATAAATCCTCATTAATTGGTGAAAGTGAAGGCAACTAATGACATCGAAGGCGACAGGTGGCATTTTATCATTTCAGATGTGAACATGTGTCCTTCATGCAAGCAAGTGCATATACAACAACAATTGATTAAAATCTTAAAAAGAAGATATTAATATCCATATCCATTTATTCATTCATCAATGGACTTCTTGTTTACAATCCTCAACCCCTTGCCTTAGCCTAATTCTACTTTTTTCGATGGCAACCAAACGAAATCGCCAGTGCCTATGACTATTTTCCCCTCTTTGAAGCTGCTTTGGCGGAAAAAGCGTCTGCAATCTCATGCAGCAAATGTTATTTAACCACATGACTTCCCTTCTCTTTCTTTCCGTCAACCCGAAGGTCCCACTGTTTCTCTAACTCTTGGCCTTCCAGCTTGCATTTGTGATTCAAAGGATGAAGAAGGTGAATATAGTTGGGGTGAGAAATTTCTGATTAGCTTGACTTCTGTTGGCATAATTTCTACTTTCCTTTTAGTAGTCTCACACAAAATGTAATTGTACTTTCTTCTTATATATCGACTTTTAATGGTTACTTTCTCCTTCTTTGTTTGTGGAAATACATAGCACCAGAGAAAGATTTCATGCAAACCTCTGTTTTTGAATGACATTATAATCTCCTCTTGCATTCGCGCGTCCAGAGACAAATATTATTGTGTTTTTTTTTATACTTTTTTGCATGCATTGATGGTGAGTTGGTGGGACAACTGTTCCATGTAGCACATCCCATCAGGAGACGCTACAACAGTGATCGGCAACTGATTATAAACTTCCGACCCGATCCAATTGGCAACTACATGCTTCTTCAGTTCCCCTTCTCTATTCTTCTTTCCTAACCCCATAGGGGAAGTTCACTCGATACTTGGCCAGCCGCCAGGCTCTTCCCACGGTGTTAAGCTACAAACGGCCACAGAGAATAAAACCGTTCAATAATGAACAGTGTTTCCCTACGAAAGTGCCATTATTTTCGATAATAAAAAGTGTCTTACGGCGCCGTAGGGGTTAGAAGTTTCCGATAAAAGCGTGGTTGCCGCTAATTTGTCGTAATGAACAGTGATTGAAACTTACGGAAACTTGGGACTTAATAATTCCAATTATTATTATTATTATTATTATTATTATTATTATTATTATTATTATGAGAGATGTATTATTGTCTATGTTCTGGAGTCCTTTTTTAATTATTATGTATGAGGCCTTTCTTGACGAATGCTTGGACTTTTACACATGATAACTGCAGGACGACATAGTTCAGAGCTGTTATTGGGATTCTGGGCGTCCATTTGATCTGAGACGAGAGTCTGATGCAATTCCTCCTGACGTGACTCTGCACTCTATTATTTTTGAGAGCCCGGACAAAAATAGGTGGGCCAGGTGTCTAAGTGAACTAGTTAAATATGCTGCTGAGCTTTGCCCAAGCTCTGTTCAAGAAGCAAAGTAAGTATAGATTGTTGCTGTATTTATAGTTGTTTTACCCACTATTGCATGTTAACTTTCTATTACATGCCTGCACTATATCTTAGTGTGGAGCAGGACACTCCAAAAAACTGTCATAAGTTTTAGTTTATATGTGTTTCCTTTAATAGCATCGTCTAAAAATCTTTGTAGCCTTCTACTATTGTATTTAGGATCCAGCCTAGGTGGGGAGTTTCCTTCTTTATTTGATTATGTGCTTCCATAACAGTTATTAGATTGATAGCGACTCAAGTTATTTGCTATACCAAGCAAAGTTGATGAAAGTCTTGAGTTCTGTTTAAAATCAACGTGCTTCTGCTGACAGTAACTCTCTGCCCTGTGTAGCATTTCAAATTTGATGAATTTTGGTATTTCTGGTTCTCACTTTGAGTTTGTGACTTCTGTTTCTTTTAAGCTACTTAGGTGAAAATTGTGTTAATTTTGTTACATTACTAATTTGGTTGGTGGTTTGACTGAACTATTTTATTTACGAATGAGAAAAGGAAGTGGTGGGACTGATGTTGCTTTATTGGCAGGGCGGAGGTAGTTCAACGCCTTGCCCATATTACTCCGACTGATTTAGGTGGCAAGGCTCAGTCGCTAGATGGAGACAACAAGCTTGACCAGTGGCTCATGTATGCAATGTTTGCATGCTCTTGTCCCCCAGATAGTAAAGAATCTGGTGGCTTTCAAGCGGTGAAAGATCTATACCATCTTATTTGCCCGTCATTAAGATCTGGTTCTGAAGCGAATATAGTAAGTGGAGTTTTTAAAAGACTATCACTGTAGCTTCTCTATGTTAGTTCTGTTTTTGTTTTTTGTTTTTTTGTTTTGTTTTATAGAAGCCTTTTGGTTAGTTTATTTTGTTGAGGTATCAGAAAGATGTTCACAGGGTAGAGTAATTTATAAGAAGGAAAACTAAACTGGAACTTCTTGTGAACAGAAATGGTAGCTTATAAACAAGAACAATCCGTGCCATTTTAGTGCACACTGGATTGGATTTGGAGTTGTAGGCAAGAACTGATGATCCATGGTTGGAATAAGAGCTTGAAGCTCTGTATCAATGATTAATTAGAGTCTCAAAAGTTGCTTGCAAATTGTGAAGCAATTTCGCAGCAAAGCATTCACATGTAATCGTCATCTGCGGTTTTATCGCAATAATTTAGCCAAAACATACCAACTGCAAAAGGAGACTGAGTATGAGACAAGAAAACAGCTAAGAAAGGATTCAAACAACCTATAACATGGAAAGGAAAGGAAAGAGGAGGCCTGTTGGAAAGATTAAGGGGGCAATGATTTACTTGAGGTTCTTAGTGTCATAAGTTGAGGATTTTGAGTAGTTTAGTGGGTCATACTGTCAAGCTAGGGCTTACACATAGAATTATAGTTCGGATGAAAAATCAAGTGAGGTTTTCCTCTGTAATAGATGTAGAACTTACACAGATAAATCACATATAACTGATTATCTTTAGAGCAAGAACCAGAAGTTGAAACTTTGCCTAAGACTGGTATTCCTGAACAGAACAGGAAAGACATAACACAGAAACGTATTCCTACCTGTATTAGAAAAACTAATATTCTAGGAATTGGCTCTTCTACCAAAATCATAATTATAGGTGTCTAATTTAACGAAGTAAGCAATTTATCTGACATATTGGATCCTTCTCTTGTTCCCCATGATAAGAAATCTGATGTATTTCCTTTTGGACAGCTATCTTGTGTGCATCTAGATTGTCTTATAATTGTTGTTTGTGCTATCTTGTATGCTACTAGATTTGAATGAATTCTGTATCACTTAGGTCGTGAGACATGCTTTTATTTTCAATGTAACGACAGTTGTGTCTTTGTTTGACATCAACAGCATGCAGCTACAATGGCTCTTGGGCGCTCACATTTGGAAGCATGTGAAATCATGTTCAGTGAGCTCTCATCTTTTGTTGACGAGGTTTCTCTGGAGACCGAGGCAAAACCGAAGTGGAAGGTAAGGATCCTTTTTTTTATGACTATAACTGTATCAGCTTGCAATATGAGAGGATGGTTATTTTCTTTTAGCAAGAATCTCGACTGCAATGCTCATTTCTGTACCATGAAATTTATATTTGAGGTGATACCTTTAGAATGAAGCTAGTGCTAGGATTCCATTCAAAAGTGTGGCTTTGCGTTTAAAGAAACAATTGTGTGCCAGTCAACTGATTTTCTATGTTTAAGCCATATACCAGAACATTTCATACTTAAATCACAACATTAGTTTCTAAAGAAAAGAGAAGTGACCTAACTTAATTGGTTGCTACATTGTGAGAAGGGTATTTCCAGTTCCTTTATTTTTTCTTGAATTTAACATACAAATACGGAATGAAAACAACTTGTACACCTGTCATTAACCGTGTTACTTGTTGGTTTCATACGTGATAAGAGGTATAGCGATGTGTAATCGTCGAGACTTGATTCCAAATCCCTACCCATGCTTGTTTCACATTTCCACTTTTGTTTCTTAGGTTGAATTCAAGTTTTGTTTCATAATCGTCGAGACTTGATTCCAAATCCCTACCCATGCTTGTGCAGAGTCAAAAATCACGCAGGGAAGAGCTCCGTCTACACATTGCAAATATTTACCGCACTGTTGCTGAAAACATCTGGCCTGGAATGCTTAGTCGCAAACCTGTTTTCCGTCTTCATTACCTGAGGTTCATCGATGACACAACCAGGCAGATCCTAACAGCCCCCACTGAGAACTTTCAGGAAATGCAGCCTCTTCGGTATACTCTTGCATCTGACATAAGATTCCTTGCCCCTGAATTTGTTAACTCAAAATCAGAGAAATTCGACCTCAGAACCAGAAAGCGGCTGTTTGATCTTCTCCTGTCCTGGAGTGACGACACTGGTAGTTCGTGGGTGCAAGATGGCGCTGGTGATTACCGACGTGAAGTTGAACGGTACAAGTCTTCCCAACATTACAGGTCAAAAGACTCGGTTGACAAAATTTCATTCGATAAAGATTTGAGTGAGCAGATCGAGGCAATCCAGTGTGCCTCCATGAATGCTATGGCTTCACTCTTATATGGACCTTGTTTTGATGACAATGCACGGAAAATGAGTGGTCGGGTTATATCTTGGATCAACAGTTTGTTTAATGATCCTGCACCACGGGCTCCATTTGGTTACTCTCCAAATACACAGGGGAAAGTACACGTGGAGTTGCTGGTCGTGATAGACACAGGGGCAGCCATCATCGTGTTGTGCTGGCAAAATTAGCTTTGAAGAATCTTCTTCTTACGAATTTGGATCTCTTCCCGGCTTGCATTGACCAGGTGATATTACCTCCCCTTTCCCATTTCACTGGTATTTTTCCGCTGCAAGAAAAATACTAGTCCTGACATGAACTTCGTAGTTATGATATGCTGCCACGAGAAAAGTTAAACCTAATATGAAACAAACTTGATGAGTATTGGTCACTTATGCTCCTACCGACTCTATCCTGTTGAAGTTATTTTTCCAATTTCTTTCTTTATAAGAAAGAAAAGAAGAAAAAGAAGATGTTATTTTTCCAATTTCAATTTCAGTAAGTAAACCGTTAAACTGAGACAAGCACACCTTTAGATTAGAAATGTCCATTTTTAGCTTATTTCTAATGTAATTTTTTTCTACGAGTTCTTTCTTCCTGTTCTAATTCGCAAGCAATGTTTTTCAGTGCTATTACTCTGATGCTGCTATTGCCGATGGCTACTTCAGTGTTCTAGCTGAGGTCTATATGCGCCAAGAGATACCAAAATGCGAAATACAGAGGCTTCTGAGCCTGATCCTCTACAAAGTGGTGGACCCAAATAGGCAGATTCGTGACGACGCCCTTCAGATGCTGGAGACACTTTCTGTTCGCGAGTGGGCTGAGGATGGGATGGAAGGTTGTGGGGGGTATCGAGCCGCTGTTGTGGGCAATCTCCCTGACTCTTACCAACAATTCCAGTATAAGCTTTCATGCAAACTAGCTAAAGACCATCCAGAACTAAGCCAGCTTCTTTGTGAGGAGATAATGCAGAGGCAACTTGATGCTGTCGACATTATTGCACAGCATCAGGTGTTAACCTGCATGGCCCCATGGATCGAAAACCTCAATTTTTGGAAACTCAAGGACTCAGGGTGGAGCGAGAGATTACTAAAGAGCCTTTATTACGTCACGTGGCGTCATGGGGATCAGTTTCCAGATGAAATCGAGAAACTGTGGAGCACAATTGCTAGCAAAGCCAGGAACATCAGTCCAGTTTTGGATTTCTTGATCACAAAAGGGATTGAAGATTGTGACTCCAATGCATCTGCAGAAATAAGTGGTGCGTTCGCCACATATTTCTCAGTCGCAAAGAGGCAGCGTACGATCGATCACTTGGTTTACCAACTTGCTCAGCGAATGTCAGAAGACAGCCTCGAACAAGTCAGTCCGAGTGTGACAACTAAGGGTGATCCAAGTGGAAGCTTCGTCTTGGAATTCTCTCAAGGCCCTGCAGCTGCCCAAATTGGTGCTGTTGTCGATACCCAGCCGCACATGTCACCTTTGCTCGTCCGGGGTTCCCTCGATGGGTCCCTCAGAAACAGCAGTGGAAGTCTGAGCTGGCGGACATCTGGTGTAACCGGGCGTAGTGTCTCAGGTCCCCTCAGTCCAATGCCTCCAGAACTAAATGTCGTCCCTGTGACAGCTGGCCGATCAGGACAGCTTCTTCCAGCACTAGTGAACATGTCAGGTCCATTGATGGGAGTTAGAAGCTCTACAGGAAGTTTGCGTAGTCGGCATGTATCTCGAGACAGTGGAGATTACCTCATTGACACTCCAAACTCCGGTGAAGACGGCTTGCATCCTTTTGCCATCGGCATGCATGGCGTCAATGCCAAAGAGCTTCAATCAGCACTACAAGGCCATCAACAGCATTCCCTTACTCATGCAGATATAGCACTGATTCTCCTCGCTGAAATTGCTTACGAGAACGACGAAGATTTCCGCGAGCACTTGCCTCTGCTGTTCCATGTCACGTTTGTCTCCATGGACAGTTCGGAAGACATCGTGCTGGAACACTGCCAGCACTTGCTCGTCAATTTGCTCTACTCGCTCGCCGGCAGACATCTGGAATTGTATGAAGTGGAAAATAGCGATGGAGAGAACAAACAGCAGGTGGTCAGTCTAATCAAGTACGTACAATCGAAGCGAGGAAGCATGATGTGGGAGAATGAGGACCCCACAGTTGTTCGACCATCTCTCCCGAGTGCAGCACTTCTATCGGCACTAGTACAGAGCATGGTCGATGCTATCTTCTTCCAAGGAGATCTCCGTGAGACTTGGGGTGCTGAAGCTCTCAAGTGGGCCATGGAGTGCACATCGAGACACTTGGCTTGCCGGTCCCACCAGATCTATCGTGCCCTCCGACCCAGCGTAACGAGTGACACGTGTGTCTCCCTCCTCAGATGTCTTCACAGATGTCTTGCTAACCCTGTTCCCCCGGTCTTAGGATTCATAATGGAAATCTTGCTTACTCTTCAAGTAATGGTGGAGAATATGGAACCAGAGAAGGTCATACTCTACCCTCAACTGTTCTGGGGCTGTGTTGCAATGATGCACACGGACTTCGTTCATGTCTACTGCCAGGTCCTTGAGCTCTTCTCTCGAGTCATTGACAGGTTATCTTTCCGTGACCGGACTACCGAGAATGTCCTCCTTTCCAGCATGCCTCGTGACGAGCTGGACACCAGCGGAGGTGATATAAATGGTGATTTCCAACGAATAGAATCATCATCATCAATTGGGACCCTCCCAACATTCGAAGGTGTGCAGCCTCTTGTCCTCAAAGGTCTGATGTCAACGGTTAGCCATGATGCCTCCATCGAGGTCCTGTCGAGGATTACAGTTCACTCCTGTGATTCCATATTTGGGGATGGAGAGACTCGGCTTCTCATGCACATCACTGGCTTGCTCCCATGGCTCTGCTTGCAGCTCAACAAAGACACAACAAAAGCGTGCTCGGTAGCGAACAACATAGCTGTGTGGTGTCGAGCCAAGTCACAGGACGAGCTGGGGACGGTGTTCGTGGCCTACGCCCGAGGAGAGATTCGGAGCATTGAGAATCAGCATTGTTATGTGCAGAGTGGTTTCCGAAGCACTCAGCGTTGGCGTTCGGGCACTTGCTTCGGCTGCTGGAGAGAGGGCCAATGGAGTTCCAGAGGGTCATACTGCTCATGCTCAAGGCTTTGCTGCAGCACACTCCAATGGATGCTTCGCAGAGCCCGCATATGTATGCGATCGTGTCTCAGCTGGTCGAGAGCACCCTTTGCTGGGAGGCACTTAGCGTGCTGGAGGCTCTTCTACAGAGCTGCAGTAACTTACCCGGCGGTGCTGGGTCCCATCTGCATGAAGCTGGTGGCGGAGAGAATGGTGGTGATTTTGGTTTGGCAGGGGTTCAGACATCGTTCAAGGCTCGGAGTGGGCCACTGCAGTACGGGATGGGTTCAGGATGGTTTGCAGCCGCAGGAGTTTCGCCATGGGGGAGTCAAGGAGGAGGTGGAGGTGTTGAGACGGCGATTCCAGCGAGGGAGGTCGCTCTACAGAATACGCGGCTGATACTTGGGAGGGTGCTGGATAATTGTGCGCTAGGGAGGAGACGGGACTACAAACGGCTGGTTCCATTTGTTAACAACATCGGCTCATGAAGGAAAAAAGAGCAGCAGGCTACTGTGCCAAGAGTATATGGTGTCTACTTTTAACCTTTATTCATTACTGTTGCGTGTAAATGTAATTATATTAGTTGGGGAAGGTAGGCGAGGCCATGGATTTGTTCTTGTAAATAGGCCTTCTGGGTGGAAAGCTGGGGGGATGGAGATGCAATGCTGTGGCAAACGTCAGTGTACATTGTCGACAGCAACTGAAAATATTATTTGTACACGGTACTCGTCAGTTTATTTTGGTCTCTAATACTGTAAAGGTGTTGTCTTAGAGGCTAGAACTCATCTCCATCTCCATCTTCATCTTCTTCCTATTCGATTTTGTTTTGCCCGTCAAACTGCAAGTGGATTTCCCCGTCTTTCGATTTCATTGAAGTTGCTAAAACTCATCACCAAGTTGCACTGTTTCCTTACAACGGGATACTAGATTCTTATTTTCTCCGAAATGTAGATGCTGTAGAGTTGCGTTCTAGCTTCTAGTCGAGAAGTTGGAATAAGCAACTGTTTCTTGAAAGACTGACTAATATTGTAAGTCAGCAGGCTATACTTGACGAGAAAAGTATATATTACAGCTTCCTTCAGGGTACAATCTGGGATTACAGTACAGGAAGTATAAACCAAAGCAGCATGCAAAGCCAGGAAGAAGATATTACACAACACCAGGGAAATGTTTATGGCGAAAGTTCAGCCCCCCGCTTCTAAGGTGATCGAACGATCACCACTCTTCATTGCGCGCCTTTTTGTACAAGAATACAACTCCCTAAACCAAAATCAGGGTTCTTGGCACATTCTTAATTTAACAACACACAGGATTCCAAGTTTTTTTTTTTTTTTTAATCTCAAGCAATAGGAGACGAGTTCTTCTTAATCAGCGCATATGCATCACTGTATATTGCCACTCCATTTGACAACACTGCTAGAACAATCATGAACACACACAGCATCTTGTCCTTTGACGTTGCTATATAATGCCGGTCCCTGAAACTCGGCAGTGAATTCCATGTGAGAATCATTGGCTGATATTAATCAAGTACAAAAGAAATCAGTTGACAGGAGCTCACCTGAGAGTAATGGAAGCTGGGAAAATGAACCCAAGGCAAACAGCAGCTGTAGCTCCAGTGAACTGGAAAGCGTCCCAGATGCTCGGGATGAAATTTGCACCCAAGAAGATGACCGAGATGAGAGCAATGGTGAGAGATGCAAAGCGGACATTATCCTGGTTCAAAGGCCTCGAAGAGGGGAACAGGAGGCCATCCAAGTTGAGCCTTAGCGGATGGAAGACAATTGGAAACACAAGCATCAAATGAGCGGCATAACTGACACGAACAGCATCATTCAAAAATGAGCTATAAGGAATGCCGAGGTCAGTGTTGAAGTTGGCCAGCACATCGTCCATCGTCGAATCACCGAATAGAAGGAAGCCAAAAATGCTCGTCATAACGTATACGGATGAACATAGGGCGAGTGATGTTCGCACCACGGGCTTTATCTGAGTCGAATCCTCAAGCTCATTGTCTATGCTGTGAACTGGCAAACAGAGAATTCGAAATCAGTACCCATAGTAGATTACGTGTGTTTGTTGGAATGAAAGCTCAAACAAACATACATTTAAAATCTAACCAGCCATTCACACTAAACCCACCCTAATCCCGGAAAATAGTTAAATCTGAAAGTCGCAACAGTATTTAACTTCCATTACTAACTTTTATCTTTTACATAAGAATCTATTCAAAATATTACACTTCATAATAGTCACTCCACAAACTACATGTCATCGCATCATTCACTTTGTACTACTAATAAAAAATGCATATACCATATCCTCTCTAGAGCATTACCAGACACTTTAATTTTTTCAATAACAAACACAACCATTGAACATGTTTCTCCAGAAGGTATTAAGTCCAAGCTGGGTGCTTCAGAAATAGTAAACACGGGATGTAAACTTTACTACATCCCAAAGGCAATACTAAGCTCGGAATTTCAGGCCAATGTATCATAAGAGAATAATTCTTCATGCTGGTTGCACAGAAACCAAGAAATGTTATGAAAAAATGGAAGACACCCAGAACACCATTTGCTAGTTATGGAGAATCGGATGCCGCAATGCCCTTGGTTCAGCATCAGAGTAACAAGGCCCACATATATAGTCTGAAAATTAGAATTAGAATTTGGCATACCGTTGTAGTGGCAAATGTATGCAGTGACAAGAACAGGAACAACTGTGAAAAGGTTCCAGAATGAAGCCATATTTGTGACATCAGGGAGCAATCTGGGCATCATTATGCTTCCATTTATCAACTTTACAATTGTAATCCCCATGGTGATGACAATGAATAATACTGCAAGCGCAACTGAGAGTGCTGATGTATAGCTTAAAGAGTCTGCAAAAACAAGCAAGCCACAGCCAACACAACAAGAAGCATGAGAAGCGAAATAAATTTGGAACTCTAAATTGGTACCACAAGCTAAAATTGTACATATGAAGGCTGTATAACAAAATCCCTTAGTATAACTATGGAAGCATGGAAACTACTCAGATGTGACACAGCAAAAACGGAAAGAGGAACCTATATTCCAGTATTGACATGAACAATTACTGATTCCGTATTGAAAGTGAGTTATCAAGTGATCTGTTGAGGTGGCTATGCAACTAGAGTTCAATTTCCAGAAATCATTTTGACATAGAGTCGTATCACCACAAAGACTATCACAAAGACTACGTTTTTAAATTACAGGCAGAGCAAAATGAACTCGACGGGTAAAAAAGAAAATGAAAATAACAATCAACTAGCATGTTTTATGTCTACTATTACTAAAAACCGAACCAAACACTTACCAAGTCGTTTCAGACAGGCCAAGGGAGAAAATATGCCCAATGTAGTGATAAGTAGAACAGCAGTGCGTCCATTCCACAAATGTACTCCAAACCACCCTTCAAGAACACCCGGGTGATGAATCCCATCAGCAGTTGTTCCAGACAGCACATCACCTTCGCATAAGGATAAGTAGGTATACAATTGAGTCAAATGTTTTCAACCACAAGAACATATAGAGAAATATAGAGAAATTAAACAATATATTAAGGAAAATTAACAAAGGTGAAGCCAGGCATACCGATGATTATCATGTATACAATGAGTACACCTATGTTGTTGATCATGACAGCAACTTGTAACAAATTTTTCCCAACTTTCCCAAAGGCATCCCCCATAAGTCCACCATAAGATGAACTCTTGGATACCCGGCTAAACCTAAGCAACAATTCAATTGACGCCTCTGTCAAGAATGCCATAAAGATGATCATGGCAACCCCAAGTACAAGCCCCAGCACCTTCATGGTGGCGGGCAATGCCATGATCCCGGCACCAACAATGGTAGTTGACAAATTGAACACAGCCCCTGGGAAAGAAGCTCCATTGAACTCATCAAAACCACCATCCTCACCATGCGTTTTAGGAAGCAAGGGAGCATTCTCATCAACTTGCTTCCCCTTTTTACTAGATTTCCTTTCTTTCTTGGGAGCTGTATTGTTCCCAATCGTCATCTTTCTTATCTCTTATACTACGGATTGGAAACACCTGAATTTTGACAAAGGCTCAGCCTTTCAGACGAAACAAGAGAAAACTCACCAAAATCAGCTTTAAAATTCTGAAACTTTATAGGGTTTAGCAGTGAATTTCAACTGGGAAATGACGAAATGGTATTGAAATAGAGGCAAACCTGCAAGATATATGAAAACAATTGCAGGCAAGCACGATTGTTGGAACCTAGAACACGCCTTCTATAACGAATAAGATGAATACCCCAAAAAGAAATTATCCAAAACCAGATAATTGATTCGCTACACGCAACAGATTTTGACCTATTCCGAATAAGAGAAACAAGCTACCCAATCAAAAGCTATAAACACATACAAAACCCCAGAAAGCAAGCTCTCGAAAATCGAACCCAGAATCAGAAACGGGAAAATTATCAATCTTGAGAGCAAATCGATATTTAGGAAGATTTTTTTTGGTGACTGGGCTGAGTTATCTGAATGTTGCTGAATTTCGAGTTATATAGCCCAAGGAGAGAGAGAGAGATGCACACGGAAGCGAAGGCAGAAGAAGAAAGTCTTTTGTGTACAGTTCTAGGGATGGCCTACGAAATGCGAATTGACAATTCGGCGTCTGGTCGCCACATGAATTGTTTAATCTGCAGAAATCGATAGTAGGTGCAGGCAGGTGTTTGGCGAATTGGGTGTGAGTGGAAAGATGATGAACGCTGAGAGCGATGAATGAATGACCAAGGGGCAAGGACAGGGAATCCTCGGAATCGGATGATCTAATCAGCCTACTAGCTGTTGTTAATCATGGAGGGTGTTTTCGTTTGTCATCTTACTTAACTAATTTAAGTTTAATGTGTGGTGTTTGTTAAGTATTGTTTTGGGGCTTACCAAAGGTCCTGTGATATTAAAAATTGGGGATTGCTATTCGTCGCCTTAAAAATTCTTATTCGTCGCCCTAATTATATTAAATTTACTTTAATACCCTTAATTTATATTCTTTTCTTTCGATCTTAAACTCTAAAACAATCAAAAAAAAATCACCACATACATCCACTCAGTTGTCGGTGTCGGCCACCTCACCGGAGAAAAAAAAATCCTATGTTGCTCGAGTCTTCGTCTCGCTTATCGCGGCGGATCGTGCTTGGGAACAACCATGCAATTTTTCACGATCATGATCGAAGGATTGGGTTTGGGCCTTGGGATTCTCTTTGATTAAGGAATTGCTCTTCTGTCAATTGGATTAAGCCCAAGTTTTCTTTCTAATTTTCTTTTCTCTGGTTTTTATATGGGAAAATTAGGATGATGAGTGATTACAAGGTGGAGATGATTGATGATTTTTTCTGGGTTCTTTTACTTCTTCCCGTAGTTGATTGATGGCCACGATCGAAGGGTCAGCGCAATGGGGAGATAGAGCGATGGTGGGTCGGGGAATGGGTACTCCGACGGGTTTGGGGAACAACAGCGGCGGCCGGCGGTAATGGTGGTTAGCGGCTGAGTCGATGGCACTGTGCAGTGGGCGAGAGGCGGCGGTCACCCGTAGCAGCAGGGCGGGGACAATTTTCTTCTTCTGCAGTCTCCTCCTTTCCTTCTCCGAGCAGCAGCGGCGATAATGGTGGCCAGCGGCAGGTTGAAGGGATTTAGGTTTATGAATTGTGACGAAATATATGAGAGGGCAATAAGGTAATTTTAGTATAAATTAGGGCGATTTTTTTAAAATATTAGGGCGACCAATAGCAATTCAGTAAAAATTGGGGTTAATTGCAAGGATGGTCACTGGGTTTACTAAAACCGTTTATGTTTGGTCACTGCAAATATTTAATTCCATTCATGGTCACTAAGATTAGTTCAATAGTTCAAGTTTGGTCACTCTCCGTTAGTCTCCGTTAGTATTTGCTGATGTGGCAGTCAACTATTATAGTTGACCGTTAAATGAGTGACGTGGCCATTAAAAAAATAATAAAATTTAAATATTTACAATTTCCATCTCATTTTACAACTATTAAAAAATAAAAATAAAATTTACCTCCGCCATCTACGCCACCGTGGCCATGACGTGATCGTCTCCGCCGCCGCTCCTTCCTCAACGACGGCCTCGCAACAGCTGCACAGCCTGCTTAGTAGCCAATCGTAGCTCCCTTCCCTCGATCTCCGCCACAACCCGTCGACCCCCCATATGCCGGAAAGAAACCCCCGCCGACGTCACCCCGGATCCGGCGGCGGAAGCAGTCGGAAGACAAGGCCTCCACACCCTTCTGCTTCCCCGAGGGCGACCCGCTGCGGAAGGGCTTCTCCTTCCCCCGCAGCTCCGCCCAATCGCAATCCCCCATTATCCAGGATCAGAAACTACCGTTCCGGCAAGACTTCCAGGGTACTGAAGCGATGCGCCTCCGAACCCATACTCCGGAGCAACCCCACCGGCAATCAGAGGAAGAAGAAGAAGAAGAAGAAGAAGGACCCAGTGATGGCGATCCTCTACTCCATGATCGCTCAAGTCATAGTAGTAGCTTCACCTGCTTGGAAAATTACTGTTGGCCCGAGGGCGTCGCGGCGATCCACCGGCCTCGAACTTGGACCGACGTATTCTCTTCGTCTCCGTCTCGTCTGGGCTCGAGATCATCTTCTCGACCGAGCTTCGATGTAAGTCGGACTAATTCACCCTTTTGTTTATTTTCAAGTCTCGATGCTGGAAGGCATAAATTAGGTTGGGGCATTTTACCAAACAGTTGGAAGGCGTGAACTTTTTTTAATCTTCGTTTACCCCCGCAGCAGGTGTACTCGAGAGATGCGAAGGTAGTGCTGAACGTGACGGTGGAAGGGAGCCCAGGTCCGGTGAGAGCCGTCGTACGAATTGCACCACTCCCACTTCAGCCTCCGATGTAAGCAAATCCAATTAAAGCGCTCTATCGTCGCTGATTTTCCCGAATCATATATTAAGGCGGATTGTGTCCCCTGTTTTCTAGTCCTGAGTTTTCTTTCCATTTTTCAATTTCCCAATTTTGAATTGCAGGTTTGGAGAGATCGGAATTGATCGGGGAAGTAGGGAGCAGGAATTTTTATCTGAGGAAGAGCGGTAGTAGTCGGAGGAAGAGCAGCAGCGGCAGCCTGTTGGGTTCTTCGCTGGCTACGGTGGAACGGAACTCGCCGTCAACGAAGGGGGTTCCGCCGGCGATTGTGTTGTTCCAAGGTTTCTTCGGCAGGAAGTTCAGTAAAATTGTGAGAATAATGCGTCGGGTATGGCATATGGTGGTGTGCTTGCCGTGATCGATCGATCGACCTCTCATCCCATTCGGCGAAAAGGGAGCTCCGATTGGCTACTAAGCAGGCTGTGCAGCTGTTGTGAGGCCGGCGTTGAGGAAGGAGCAGCGGCGGAGACGATCGCGTCATGGCCACGGTGGCGTAGATGGCGGAGGTAAGTTTTATTTTTATTTTTTAATAGTTGTAAAATGAGGTGGAAATTGTAAATATTTAAATTTTATTATTTTATTATTTTTTTAATGGCCACGTCACTCATTTAACGGTCAACTATAATAATAATAGTTGACTGCCACATCAGCAAAAACTAACGGAGACTAACGGAGAGTGACCAAACTTGAACTATTGAACTAATCTTAGTGACCATGAATGAAATTAAATATTTGCAGTGACCAAATAGGAACGGTTTTAGTAAACCCAGTGACCATCCTTTCAATTAACCCTTAAAAATTGTGAACTCATGTGATAAAATAATATTTTTCCTGAACTCGTCAGTAACATGAGTCATTCTACTGTGTAAGCAATTTTGTTATTTGTATTGGATGAATTATTGTGTATAAGGTGATAACTTAAATTATGGCAGGGAGGCTAGCTTGTATTTTGCCCCAAATTATATTCGATGGCCAGAATGCTTTTATTCGGGAGAGACAGATTGTAGAGAATATCCTTTTAGGGAATGAGTTAATGCATTACCTGAAAATTAAAACCCGTGGGAAGAAGGGATATATGGCTCTGAAGGTTGACATGGAAAATGCTACATTTGGAGAACGGGAAAAGAAAAACTTAGGGGTCATTTGGATGCAGGTTTTTAATTTGTGGGATTTTGGCTCAAATTACTGGTTTAAAAACCCAGGTTTTTAATTTGTGGGATTTGTATGGAATTTTAAAATAGCTGATGACCATCAGCTATTTTACAATCCCACAATTGTGGGTTTTTGAAATCTCTAATATTTAAAATCTCTTATCGGGGTCGTTTGGATTAGTGAATGTGATGAGGGATTTATGAGTGATTTTAAAACAATCTCTCGTTATGCAGGATTTTAAAACAATTCTGCGTTTGGAAAGGTGAGAGATTGTGGGCATGAGGAAATTCTAAATCTCTCATATGAGATTGTGTCCCCTGTTTTTCTAGTCCTGAGTTTTCTTTCCATTTTTCAATTTCCCAATTTTGAATTGCAGGTTTGGAGAGATCGGAATTGATCGGGGAAGTAGGGAGCAGGAATTTTTATCTGAGGAAGAGCGGTAGTAGTCGGAGGAAGAGCAGCAGCGGCAGCCTGTTGGGTTCTTCGCTGGCTACGGTGGAACGGAACTCGCCGTCAACGAAGGGGGTTCCGCCGGCGATTGTGTTGTTCCAAGGTTTCTTCGGCAGGAAGTTCAGTAAAATTGTGAGAATAATGCGTCGGGTATGGCATATGGTGGTGTGCTTGCCGTGATCGATCGATCGACCTCTCATCCCATTCGGCGAAAAGGGAGCTCTGATTGGCTACTAAGCAGGCTGTGCAGCTGTTGTGAGGCCGGCGTTGAGGAAGGAGCAGCGGCGGAGACGATCGCGTCATGGCCACGGTGGCGTAGATGGCGGAGGTAAGTTTTATTTTTATTTTTTAATAGTTGTAAAATGAGGTGGAAATTGTAAATATTTAAATTTTATTATTTTATTATTTTTTTAATGGCCACGTCACTCATTTAACGGTCAACTATAATAATAATAGTTGACTGCCACATCAGCAAAAACTAACGGAGACTAACGGAGAGTGACCAAACTTGAACTATTGAACTAATCTTAGTGACCATGAATGAAATTAAATATTTGCAGTGACCAAATAGGAACGGTTTTAGTAAACCCAGTGACCATCCTTTCAATTAACCCTTAAAAATTGTGAACTCATGTGATAAAATAATATTTTTCCTGAACTCGTCAGTAACATGAGTCATTCTACTGTGTAAGCAATTTTGTTATTTGTATTGGATGAATTATTGTGTATAAGGTGATAACTTAAATTATGGCAGGGAGGCTAGCTTGTATTTTGCCCCAAATTATATTCGATGGCCAGAATGCTTTTATTCGGGAGAGACAGATTGTAGAGAATATCCTTTTAGGGAATGAGTTAATGCATTACCTGAAAATTAAAACCCGTGGGAAGAAGGGATATATGGCTCTGAAGGTTGACATGGAAAATGCTATGATAGAGTCGAATGGTCCTTTCTCCTAGGGGTTTTGGAAAAAATGAGTTTTGACTCGGTCTGGAGAGGGTGGATTCAGGAGTGCCTCTAATCTACGACTTTTTCAGTCCTTATGAATGGTACCCCGTCTGGTTTCTTTTCCCCATCTCGAGGGCTCGGACAAGGTGATCCGCTATCTCCCATTCTTTTTGTCATCTGTACGGAAGGGTTCGCGGCTCTCCTTCGTCAAGCCATCTCGGCAGGGAGACTAAAAGGTGTTAAAGTGGCCCCTCGAGAACCTCGTATTTCACATTTGTTTTTTGCCGATGATTCTTATCTTTTTCTTAGAGGGTCCCTCCAAGAATGTGAGAATTTGATCGAGGTTCTCAATGAATACGAGGAGTTGAGTGGCCAGAGAGTGAATCTGGAAAAATCAGCTGTGTGCTTTAGCAAAAACATAGTTGTGGCGGATCAGGAGTTCTTGGCGGCAATCCTGGGAGTAGGGGCAGTGGGTGTCCAAGATAAGTATTTGGGTCTCCCCACTCTGATAGCCCGTTCTAAAATGGCTACTTTCCGATACCTAGAGGAGAAACTACTGGCGAGATTGCAGGGTTGGAAGAGGCGAACATTGTCGTGGGCTGCTATGGAAACATTGATTAAATCAGTGGCATTAGCTTTGCCTCTGCATGTTATGTCCTATTTCAAGCTGCCCCTGGCTCTTTGTCGCCTTCTTGACAGGCATATAGCCCGATTTTGGTGGGGGTGGAAGAGGGTCAATCCAAGATTCGTTGGATTTCCTGGAGGAATATGTGCAAAAGTAAGCATGAAGGGGGCATGAGGTTTCGCCGATTTGAGCATTTTAACCAAGCATTGCTAGCGAAAATTGGTTGGCGTATCCTGGAGGAACCCCAGTCCCTTATTTCCCAGGTGTATAAAGGAAAATATTTCCCCAATGGGATGTTTCTCACTGCTCAGGCCCGTTATCGACCCTCATGGGGGTGGTAGAGTATCCTTTTTGGCCTCCAATTGTTGGAATCAGGGTTGCGATGGCATATTGGAAATGGTCGGAAGGCTCCTCTGCTCACGTCTAGTTGGATTCCTTAGCAACATCCCCTTCCCCCAGTCTATAATCCGTGTGTGGTTCCTGCTAGTGGGGGTTTGAAGGTGGAGGAGGTGATCCAGCAGGGGGAGGGACGTTGGAATGATCAGAAACTCAGTCAATGGTTTGATCCAGTAACCTGTAAAGCCATTAAGACCATCCCTTTGCCACGCCATAATATTGAGCATAAATTGATATGGCATCCGACATCTGATGGTATTTTCACAGTAAAATCGGCGCACTACGTCGCGGTGAACTTGGATCGTCAGAATGGTTGTTGGAGGGCTTTGGCTAGTTGGATGGATAAGACAAGTTGGATTAGGCTGTGGGAGGCGGATATCCCTCCGAAGCTTAGGGTGTTTGTCTGGCAAATCTTTCATAGAATTCTTCCTACTACGGAACCGCTGCGCGAGAAGAAGGTGGATGTTCTGCCTCGGTGTCCGGTATGTTGGGCGGCTTCGGAAACTCTCGAACATATGTTCTTGGAGTGTCCGGTGGCTCGTGCATTGTGGGATCACTCTGGGCTGGCCCACCCGGGTGAAGGTTTGCCTCGCCATACGTTCCCGCTCTTTCTGAAGAAATTGTTGGTTGTGGTGCATCACCCTGCTTTGGTGATGTCTGTAGTTGCTGTTCTGTGGCGGATTTGGCGATCCCGTAATTGGGTGGTCTTTGAAGGCAAACAGTTTGGGATCCCTGTCTTGATGCGGCAATTCCACCAACAAGTTCAGGAATGGATTAGCTTACTAAGGGACCGGTCTGATCAGATAGCGCGTCCCCCTGCCCCTTCTCTAACATCAGAGGGAGCTGACATGGCAATTTGTATGTGGGATGGGGCGGTGCGGGCTGGGTCTCATGCGACTGGGGGGATGGTTATCCTCAATTCTGATAGAGCGGTCATCCTAGCAAAGGGGATTCAATTTCCGATCCTTGTGGATCCAATGATGGTTGAAGCTTTGGTCCTCCGGGAGGCGATCGTCTGGTGCTTGGCAAACGGATTCAATGTCATAAGGTTTGAATCAAACATGGGGTTTACGGTACGATTTGTAGTTCGACGAAACAATAGGGTAGCTCATTTGGTAGCTAGACAGGCCCTGTCTTTGTTCCCGACTACATGTCGTTCTTTTGATTTCCAGGCCTGACTGAATTCCAGGATGTAACGATCTATTTGTTTCAATCTATACATGATTATCTTTTGTAAAAATTAAAAAAACAAATAGGAGTTGTTTAATGGTAATTCTCCATATAGTCTCATTTTAGTTACCTATACGACTAGGGGTGGTATTTCTGTTATTTAGGTTATAACCGATAACCGATCGATCGGTTATCGGTTACCGAAATAACCACTCCCCCTACCGAAAACCGCCCGAAATAGGCTTCGGTTTCTCGGTTATCTCGGTTATCGGTTAACCGACAGACTTTTAAGAACAAAAAGCATTTCACCTAGCCTCCGATAACCGACCAAATTTGGTTACTTCGGTTACCGATTAGTGGATAACCGACTGGTTATTGGTTTAACCGGCCGGTTAACCGATAACCGGTAACCGAACTGCCACCCCTATATACATGTACTAAAATGTATGTGATGAATGATGATACACTTTCATGTACAATCCGCACTTATGAAGATGAATGTCAATATGATCGTCAATCAGAGTCCATCCAGTTATCGTTCTGAGTCCATCCAGTTGTCTCTCTTATCTTAAATATGTGTTTCAGGATTTTTTGAGTTTTTCACTTCGTTATGTCGGAT